AAACTCTCCGAAACTTGTACGAACCCGGAAGTAAGATCTTTGGCACAGAAATACTCCGAATTGTTTTTTGAAACTTTGGCCATGTTTAGCATGAGAATCCAACTCTTTAACAGTGTAAACAACTCTGAATGCATGAAACAGCATTGTACTAATTTTGGCAGCCATTTTTTATTTAGTCTTCACCCACTTTACTAGTTTAACTGGTATAACTTACCCATAAACAGAGGATCTAGATATTCATCTTTAAAGAGTATCACAAGTCTTTATTCATTTCAATGTATTTTTTTAAATAAACCACTAAACCACACTGTTCACATATTAGAAAAATGCATGTGCAGAATATGAAGTAATATAATTTCCAAACTTCAGCTATATTGACATTTACTGTACCAGATACAAAATTGACATTCATTATAGACATTCCTTAAAAGTCAGGAAAAAAAGAGCAAAACCAAACACAGTTTGAGTTTTGCTGTGTTTCCTCTTAAAGTTCACAAAAGCTTGAGTTCATTAAAGTCACATATACAAATATACACACTGATCGAACAGATCAATAATATACTGTTATTTCACAGAAATTAATATAAATAGAAGTTTTAGTTTTAAACCAACAGCCAGAGTTATATATTCAGTAACAGATAGTAGAGTATGGAGCTTGCTGGAGTTCAAATAAAGCTGTGTGTTTCATGAGCACCACATGAGAACTCGTACTGCTGAGTCAGTGCTATTATATCACATCTTCTGGAGGAGTGGTGTTGTCTTCATCATGTTTGATGCACAGAAACATCCTCTTCTGGAATCCACAAGATTTGGTGAAGTTTGGTTTCCTGTTGTGAATGATTGTCATTATGAGGATGATGAGGATGAAACAGCCCACAGCTGCAGCGAAGACAGAAACCTTAGATTCGTGACCTGCTGCTGTGTCTGGTGCGGATGGTCCTGGTACGTTCGTGACCTTGAATTCCGCTGTAAAGGTACATTTAAAATCTTTTATAACATTGTTTAAATCAGAAACACAAATTCAGCCTGTCAGACTGCAGACAGTCAGATTCTCCACACAGACTTCACAATATGATTTTGCTGCTAAGAATCTGATGAAAACCGCTTCTCTACACACGCAGACCAAATCAAAAATCTCTAAAATATCAAATATGATGAGATGTGACACAAGAAATCTTCATATAACTTAAACACTAAAATAATTTATTTCCAAGTGATTTAAAGTTATGAATAATGCTGAAGAGCAGTTTTCTGTTCTTGCTTTCTAAGTAACCTGAAGCAGCCATCAATAGTAATCAATAAAAAAATATAATACCTTTCTCGCCAGGAGCTCCAGTAACAACTGCAGGTGTAGTGGGCCCTGTTAAGACATTTTAAACATAAATTAGATTTAACAGAAATGTGCAAAGATTTACTGAATAAAAAAAATATATATATTATTTACAGTACCTGTTATGTCTACGGTAAATTTTGTTGTTTCCGTTCCACAGTTTGTTTGCGCAAAGAATCTGAATTGTTCTGTCATTGCAGTAGTTGGAGTGTAGCGGCATGTGAAGCTGTTTCTCTGATCACAGGAGTTCACAGGAGGCTCTTCTTTACAGATTGTTGAGTTTTTATAGCTCTTAGGGTATTGAAACATAAACATTTTAAAGCAGTATTTAGCACACTGCTGAGAGACTCTGCAGGTGAGATGTACTTCTTTCCCCACATATCCAGTCACATTCTTACAGCTTACATCTGAAACATAACAATGTATAAAAAAGATGTTATTTTTTGACATCTCATGAAACTCTTGAACTTATCTGTGTAACATTGTTTTATGTAAAAGATCACATTAATGGGCATTTAAAAAATTTATTGCTCCCTGAACATAATGGATTTAACTTCCTATCGTGTAAACTATTCAAACAGTAAATCTGTATTTTGAATCAGACTAAGAGCACAAAGCACTTACACTGGGTATTTTTTAAGAATCTATGAAACGGATTTGACCATTTTTTCCCCATTATCTTAGGTTTTTAGTCTCTCTTCTAAATTCTCACACACATTCTAGGTGAAGTTTATTCTCTTACTTTTATCAGCTTGACAGACAGCAGTAAAGGTCCAAACCAGAATGAACAGTTGCACAGCATTTACAGCATTCATGGTTGTGATTCTGCAAAATGGAATAAAAAACAAACAAACAGAAATTTGCATCAGAAATTAAACTTAACTTAGGACAAATAAGGCAGTATAGATTAGAGAGTATATAGAGACATTAAAGAGGAAGATTTACAGCAATATTTATTTCTACAATATATGACGCTTAAAAGGTTTTCAGTTGCAGGGTTTCACACACACACACACACACACACACACACACACGCAGGTTTGTTTTTGTGAAAAGTGGGGACTCTCCATAGGCGTAATGGTTTTTCTACTGTA